TGTAAATTTCAATTATTATTTATTTTTATGAACATCGATCACAACATCGTTTTTTATTAGTGATCGATGTTTATGCATCGATCACTAATTTTTTATTAGTGATCAATGTTTATGAAATAAATATTAACTCTTGTGTTAAAATTTGTCTTAACTTGTTCTAGTAACAACATTTTGATTTTATATGAAAATAAAAAATATCGATATACTTTGTATTGATTTGTATGAGCTGTGTATGTAACAAAGCGTTAAAAAAATAAAAGATATCCAGAGTTTCTTGCCGTTTCTTTTCTGAAGAGATTTTGACGAACAAGTCTAAATTGAATAGAAAGTTTTGACTTTGTAATATGAAAACAATCTTCCCGGCTGAAATAATGAAATAAATACAACTATTGAAATAAATATAACTATTGAAATTATTTATAAAAATCGGGTGACAAAAATAATGTTCGGTACGTCGGCGGCCTAAGTAATAACCAACGTATCCCAGCGGGATATTTTTTTGAAAAAAGTACAGTTTTCAATCATTTATTATGTTACATAGTTAACTATATAAAATAAATTAGAAATAGCTTGGTAACGATCACCTCATTTTCAAGGGTTATTATCATCCACAACTTTCTTTTATAAAAAGCTTTTGAACGGCGGCGGTGGCAGTGGACAAATTTTGTATAATTACTTATTTTCTGGGATTTCGTTGTAAAAGCGTACCCCAATGAATTACTGAATCTGAGGAGCCAAATAACTGGTACTACTAGCTTTTTACATACATACATTAGTTTTTGTATATGTAAGTAAGATTTTTATATCTTTTTACAGCATATGCTGTAGAACCAAGTTTTCTTGCTAGTTATATATATATTTCAAATTCAATTACACTTAGTTTTAGCGCCTTTTAAATACAAATTTGCTAACGCTGACAGAATTTTATATTTAGATATAGCATGATTTACTTCGTCATATTTTATTAATTGTCGTTTAAGATTGAAAATTAATAAAGAATCATCAACAAATCCGCTAATAATACTCGTACTATATCATGGCTATTCACTTTTATGCGAGGTAAGTGATTAATACATATACATACAATATTTTGTATATGTATTAATCACTTATCTTACATATAAATGAATAACCATGCACAAGAAACAGAAAGGGGCCGGGAATTGAGCCCTGAGGAACGCCCATTTGTACTAACAACCCGGAAGAACTCCTACCGTTGAAAAAAACTTTTTGCGTTCTGTTACTTTAATATCATCATCATCATTGTCATTACAGCCCTTCACAAGTCCACTGATGAACATAGGCCTCCCCAAAGAAATGCCACAAAGCACGGTCCTGAGCCACCTGCATACATCGACTTACTTACTCACATACGCAAGGCAAAGTGGCAGATTGTACTCTTCTGTCCGTGTACAATTTGTCGAAGGGTGTGTATGTGGTATATGGCACTAAAGGCTCTCCAGAAATCAGCTTGTTCGGGAGGCTAGTAGTCGTCGAGTCTGCGTGCGAGACGATTTGTAATGATTCTTAAATGACTCGAAAACAGCACGTAGACGCAGCTCAGAAGGGAAATCAGTCTGTAGTTCTTCAAGAGAGCGTTGTCGCCTTTCTTGAAGAACAAGACCACCGCACTTCTCTTCCACTCCTCCGGAGTAGTCCCACCATGGAGGACGGAATTAAAGAGCTTCTGAAAAAATTCAAGTACCGGTTTTCCACCCACTTTCAGAAGCTTCGCTGTAATTCCATCCTCACCTGGGGCCTTGCCATTTGTATGGTGTTGGAGAGCCACTCTAATTTTGCTCAAACTGGCGTCCGCAATATCATCGGAATAGTGTCGGATAAGAGCTAGCTCTTGGATCTGTCTGTTCAGTTGCCTGTATGCTGTCAAATCTGTTGAAGATGCAGATTCATTTCCCATCTAACAGCCATGAGATTAAGGGTATGATCGGAGAGTTTTTGTGTTTTTCTGCGGCGTGTGTTGCAGAACTTAGCTCCGACAGTTTCCACGAGCTTATCATTCATATCGTCCACTTAATTGCAGTCTTCTAGGCGCTGAAAACGGTTATGTAACCCGAGCTGAAAGATTTCAGGACTTTGGATTAGAGCACGAGGGGGACGAAGCGTTGACTTCATTAGACGAAACCTCTCCAACTTAACGTTTAGGTTCAGTGTGCCTCTAACCATTCGGTGATCGCTACCAGTTTTCACTCTCGGGAACATTGAGACATCATTGAACAGTTGTCGTCTGGTCGTCATAATGAATTCAATCTCATTTTTTGTCGAACCGTTGGGGCTCGACCAGGTCAACTTCCTGTGGGGCCGCTACTGGAAGAAAAGTTCATTATAAAAAGTCCCTCTTTCTCCATGAAGTCGGCCAGCTGCTAGTCCCTTTGGGTGCCGTTGCCCTATTCCAAATTTGCCCTACCTTCAGCTCACCGTTCTCTCTTGTGCCTAGTTTTCGGTAGCGATGCCTCCATAGAAGCCGAGAAGCCGAGAAGCCGGGCTTTCCCTATCAAATTGCTCAATCAATAATATCAACTAATAAAATAACTCGTAAACTGTTTGAAACTACTTCAAATTTCCCGCGCGTTCCCCTGTTCTACATAGGTCATAACCCCGTAGCCACTTGGCAGATTGCTTTCAACTTTCAATTCGAAATATACTGATTCGCGTTCTCTCTGTCTTAAAGCGAACACGCAATGCACTGTCAAAATTAATCGGCAAAACTGCGTGATACTGCTGTCATGAAAAAGGAGTTGAGTTAAGCGATTAGTCGTCTCTCTCGCACGCCTGGGGTTTTTTCGGGCTTTCGAGAAGACGATCGCTCCCTTTCTAACCTGTGGGAAAATGTTCTATAATGGAGCCATAAGCCGGACTTTTAGTGTGAAGTTAGAGGCACGTGGACGATACGTTTGCAAGTTCACATTTGAACGTTTACTCTGTGTGTTTACTTGAACGAATGAATATTGCGAGTTGAAAATTTATACTTTTTCAAAGATTTTGAGTAAAAATGGAGGATAATAGTGTTCCTTGTGATGAATTGAAGTGTGTTAAAGTGCTAATTGGCGGGGAAATGGTAAAATCTTTAAACTTGAACTTGGAACGTGCTATCTCATCTTTGTAGCGCATCCATACTTATTTGAGAAATACACAAGGTCAAGAGCGTCTTTCAGACCTATCAAATATCGCAATTGAAAAACAGTTATTGGTACAATTAAAACGTTCACCAACATTTTACGCGGACGTAATCAATCTTTCCTTAAGAAGGAGAGACGATTCGATTTAGAATATAAATAATTTGTTTTTTTTTTTTAAATTTTGTACATTGTTTGTTTGTACTTTGTTCATGCTTTTCTTTTGTTCATGTATTGTATTGTATGTAAATAACTTTTTCTTTCGCTCAAACAAACCCAAACGGCTTTTTTCAAATCCACCGAAGGTATGCAATTGCTGATATGTCATACAATCTATCTAGCAGTAGTATGCCTTCTGTGTGCTTTGTTAAACACGTCCTCGACAGCACTGAATATGAAACTGAAGAGTGGAGACAGATCAAGTTGGTGTATTTTCATAAAACTGCTAAAAACAACAAAACCATATCTTGGGCTTGCCCTAGCTACGCCACTGCTAGTTTTGTAGGTTGTAGTGTATTAAAGTCTCCCATAAACACCGTATAGTGGGTTTTGGAAGAATGCATGGCTTTAGAGATATCCTCATACATTTCCTCCACCTCGTCATCAGGATGTACCGAGGTTCGTGCGTAAACCTGTATGACCTTCAACTAATACCGTTTAGTGATTCTGGGTATAAGGTACGCAACTCTCATTGACACACGCACAATCTTTATAACGTTGTAAACGAGAGACTTGTGGACGATAAATCCGACACCTCCTTGGGACAGATGGTCGCCCTCCCGGCGATAGAACAAGTTGCCGGATTGGAGGATTACCGTGTCCTCCCCCTCTCTTCGGACCTCGCATAATCCTATAATATGCCAGCGTAACTTGTCTATCTCTTATTCCAGCTCCACGATCTTCTCGTCAGTCCTCAGGGTGCGTGCATTGTATGTTGCCAGGTCGAGTCGTCTTAGGTGCCAACCGAACATTCACCGGAGATTCTTAGCACCCCCTGCCCCGCCGTTACCATGGCCGCCACTGTAGCCAGGAATAGCGGAGCCGCCGGGGACTGGGGGCCGTCTCTTCGTAACTTTCATCATGGGGAGAATTTTGGCAATGTTGCCACGCTTGGCAACCGCAGTTTTTTATTGTACTATTGCTGTTATCAGGAAGATGCTGCTGCTCATCTCCTGCCTGTTTCCCACTGTGGCCTCTTACGACACCCACGGGACGATATGGGTTAGTGGATATTCTTAACCACCACTACACGGCACTTTAATATCTATACAAATAAATAAAATTGTCTGTTTGCCAAAATTACTGCTTTTTATTAAATGCATATGAAAGTATATACGGTACTTATAACAAGAATACAATTTTAAAATGTTTGTCTGTCTCTTTGTTCCGGCTAATCTCCGATACGCCTGGACCGATTTTGACGGAACTTCCACTGGAAGATAGTTTTAGAAAAATAATTAGGGTTCCGCGCAAAAGATTACAACCCATAAAATCTAATCGTAATAAATTCCCCGCCGTCGAAATCGCCGGGAACAGCTAGTAAAGTAATGAATTTAAGAGTATTTAATACATTTTGATTGGCAATTGGTGTGTTAAGTGGCTTGTGTATGAATGTAGTCGATTTCATATTAACTAATTATATGAACATAAAATATTCGCTAGTTAAATATTCACATTAAAGTGCAGCTTAATGTTTAGTATGTACTTAGTACTTTTATAAAAAATGACCGAGTGTGTACTAATAAAAATATAATTGACTATAAAATTACTAATAAGTAAGTAAACACGAATAAGAATTAAACTTTATAAATACCTTTTTTATTTTATAGTTGTAACACATTAAACTTATTTTGTTAATGTACTTACTGATATTTTTTTCCATCCTCAAGGAGTCGGCAATTTTTCTCACTTCCATAACATAGAGTTTAGCTTCATTTTCTAAAATTGCTTGACCTTTGACATGTTTGTTGCTTGCTATTTCTACAACTGCAATTAATATGAAAGATTTAAAATATTTTTCAGTTTTATCCTTCAGTTCTTTTCAATTTCAATTCAATCAATATTTGTTAAAGACGTAAGACTCCTTATAGTTGGTTATTCCAGTTCCAAAACTTACGGGATAAAATGATGTGATGGAAACTTTTACTGTTAATACTTTTCTTCTGTTATTATTTCTACTTGAGTTTTAATTATTCATTGATACCATCAAATACCCACTGCTAAACATAGGCTTCCCCTAAAGGGGCGATTTTGCCATAGTTACCACACCCACCTGATGGATGGTATCGGCAGTTTTTTGTTATTCTCAGTTGTTTTAGATAGATGCTGCTGCCTATCTGTTTCAGTTTCCCTTTGGTGCCTCCTACGTACACACGGGATATTGAGTCTTGGGTATTTTTATGCTGCCACTATACAGTATGATGTTTTTATCACAAGCTATTATATCGCAAAAGATCTTCCGGCATTTCACCTAATAAGGTATGAGGAGATAGGGTGATCTAGGGCGATCTCTTTTGCCCCTAATATGCGACGACATCTATATTTATAATATAACTATGGCGATAACTAACCTATAATATAAATTAATTTTATTTCAGCTTGTATTTGTAGGTATAGAAATAATCACTAAAACAATACATTGACAAAGAGCTTAAATACTTCCATCCTCATTTGCAGCGAAAAAATAACTAAATTTTTGCTCTCAAAGGAAATAGGTTTGTAATAATATTTAAGAATTTTTAATTAAAATTACTTACGATAGTCAGCAATATTGTAGTATTGAGGGCAAATTAATCCCGCCTTTTTTAATACGTCAGGCACATCTGTTATAGTGCCGGCGTATAAAGTTCGTCCGTCTGCAAGTAGTATGACATCATCTGCTAACGTAAAGAGTTGTGATGATGGTTGGTGTACGACACAAGCAACTGTTCGACCTGTTCTGGCCACTGCTTGTATAGCTTTAGCCACGGACATCGAGGACATGGAATCAAGGCCGCTAAAAATATTGACAATGTTTTAATTTGCTATTACAGAATATTATAATTGGGATATTGTATTTTACAACTTTATTATTATAATCATAAAACTATTGAAGTAATGTAAAATTTTATTAATATAGAAAATTGTACTGAACTGGCGTTAAAGGACAATTTATTGTGACAAATAGTCTGGAAAGAAGATATTAAGATAATGTGTTATCAACATTAAAGTTTGCGCGTTTACCGCTAAAAAGAACCCCTTTGTCGTATCTCCTCAGTTTCAAGGCACTCCCCTTCTTGCCTCAGCCAGTATCGGTATCCTCGGAGTCGACATATCGAGTGACGTGCAGTTTCGTGGTCACTTGGAAGAGAAGGCCAAATTGGCCTCTAAAAAGCTTGGCGTGCTCAGCAGAGCGGGACAGTATTTCATCATTTCATGCCGGCACACCGCCTGCAACTTTACAAGGCGCAGGTTCGGCCTCACATGGAATACTGTTCCCATCTCTGGGCAGGGGCTCCCCAGTGCCAGCTCCTTCGACTTGACCGCATCCAGCGCAGAGCGGCTCGAATCGTCGACGACCGAGTCCTTTCCAATCGGCTCGATTCATTGGCACTGCGAAGAGATGTTGCATCCCTTTGCATTTTCTTTTGCATCTACCATGGGGAGTGCTCTTAGGAATTGTTCGGATTAATCCCAGCCGTCAAATTTCACGAACGCACATCGCGGCAGTACTCCCGATACCATCCACACCATCTGGATGATTGGCGGTCCACCACTGTGCGATTTAGAAGATGTTTTCTTCCTCGCACGACTTCCTTGTGGAATCGATTACCATCAGCGATTTTTCCGGACCGATACGACTTAGGGACCTTTAAGAAAAGAGCGTACTCCTTTTTAAAAGGCCGGCAACGCATCTGCAATTCCCTCCCTGGTGTTGCAGTTGTTCATGGACGGCGGAGTCACTTACCATCAGGTGAGCCGCATGCTCGTTTGCCCCCTTTCCTATAAAAAATAAAATAAAATATTGTATTATAAACATCGTGGACAAATACGAGTACTATATAACGGTCGATTAATCACTATGGCAGAATCGCAGAAAGACCTTGGCATAATGCACAATGCCCTTATAGTGTCTATCAATTATGTATTATTATGGAAGGTATATGGAAAACACAATGGTCCATACTTATATCTACAAGTTTTTGTTGGGAACACAACGCTCGGAAACTTTGACGAATATGCGTACCTGAGACAAAAATTCTGATTATCCGGCGAATTTACAATGCACCTTATGGTAAATGGCTACTATTACCCATGGATAATTGCAACCAACTTCAAACGAAGAAAGCTAAAGATCAGCTATGTAACCAAGGGCCGCGGGGCAAAAATTTAATTGAGGCCCTATAATATTCCAAGGTGATGCGCTCAGCCCTTTATGGTTCTGTCTCGCATTAAACCCTCTCTCGCAAATGCTGAACAAAACCAATCATGGTTACTCTATCATCACTCCACACAAACACACCACTCTTGCACACCTGATGTACATGGATGACATAAAACTATACAGTAACACTACACAATCACTGCATCGCCTTGCAGACATCACCCAATCTTTCTCAAACGACATTCATATGGAGTTTGGGATCGACAAATGCAAAACGTTCTCGGTTAAAAACGGAAAAATTAACCGTAATAGCTATAGCCTAATATCAGGAGACACGATTGAACCCCTAGAACCGTTAGCCGCATATAAATACTTAGGTTTCCAACAAGCGCGACAGATCCATCAAAAGGAAACGAAAGAAGATCTCAAAAAGAAATTTAAACATCGGCTCAATAGTATATTCCGGTCTCAGCTCAACTCCCGCAAGATGTCAAAAGCTATCAACAGTTACGCGATCCCCATACTGACATATTCGTTTGGTGTAATAAGCTGGACTCAAGGTGACCTTACCAATCTACAACGTATTATAAATACCACTCTAACGGCTCACCGCAAGCACCACCCTAGATCCTGCGTACAAAGGATGACTCTTTCAAGATCCGATGGAGGACGAGGTATAATAGATGTACTCAACTTGCATAACAAACAAATCAAATGCCTTCGACAATATTTCTATCAACGCTCAGAACACTCACCTCTCCATGAAATAGTAACCTTAGCCGACAAACGCTTCACACCACTTAACCTTGCAGACCGAAATACACAGCGCAACGAACGGATCACTGACGTAAAAGAGAAGATCGCCTCATGGCAACAGAAGTCCCTACATGGAAGGCACTATCACGACCTGCAGCAGCCACATGTCGACAAAAAAGCGTCGGACGCATGGCTGAGGCGCGGTGAACTCTTCTCAGAGACGGAGGCCTTCATGTTAGCGATCCAGGACCAGGTTATCGATACTCGAAACTTCCAGAGACACATAATACGCGCACCTAACCTCCCCACCGATACTTGCAGACATTGCCACTCTAGTCCCGAAAACATACAACACATTACATCCGCCTGTAGAGCCCTTGCACAAACCGACTATAAACACCGGCATGACCAGGTAGCTTCCATAATACACCAACATCTTGCGCTTAAATTCAAATTTATACAAAAAATGACACCATATTATAAATATAAACCGGACATTATATTAGAAAATAATAATCATAGAATTTACTGGGACAGGACCATTATCACGGATAAAACTATCCACTTCAATAGGCCAGATATCACAATGTATGACAAAAATAACAAAACTACTTACCTTATTGACATTGCCATACCAAACACCCATAACATTCAATCCACCATTGCTGAAAAACTTACAAAATATCAAGATTTAGCAATAGAACTGAAGCGTCAATGGAAAGCAGAAGCCATCCATATAGTTCCAATAGTTATCTCATCTACCGGAGTCATACCTAAAAGCCTACAACGCAGTTTAGATATTTTGCAAGTACCCCAACACACACTTTACACCCTGCAGAAAGCTGTCATTCTCAACACCTGCCGACTCACACGCAAATTCCTCACCACTTCATCCGTCACCTCCGCTTACACCATCACCTAGCACCTGCTCACGCTTGGCTTCGGCCCGTGTGATTAGGGTTTAAGTTACCTCTATAATAGGGAGAATATAGATGTATAATAATAATAATAATAATAAAGCCCTTTATTCCGATCTAATAACATTTAACATTATAACTAAAATAAAATAATCTACTAACTACAAAATGTCTCTTAGTTCGGCGTGCCTATTGGCAAAGGCCTCCTCCAACGATTTCCATTGTTGTCTATCTTGAGCAACCCTTCTCCAGTTTGGTCCTGCTGTAAGTTTTATTTCATCTTTCCACCTTGTGTGCTGCCTTCCTCAACTTCTTTTGCTGTCTCTTGGATACCATTCTATTACTCTCCTGCTCCACTTTCCCACTTTGTCACGCATCATATGTCCTGACCATCTCCATTTCTGTTGATCGATTCGTTTGAGTATGTCGGTAAGTTTTGTTAAATTCCTTAGGTCAATATTTCTGATCTTATGCTGTCTTTTATAGCCGGTCATACTCCTTTCCATTGCTCTCTGTGCTACTGCAAGTTTTTCTCTTAATGCTTTTGTAAGGGTCCAGGTTCCGCATCCGTATGTTAGACAAGGTAAAATGCAAGTATTAAATGTCTTTCTTTTTATTGACATGCTTAAGTCTTTGGACTTCACGATCTCTTTTAATGACCAGTATTTCTTCCAACCTGTTGCGATTCTGAGATTAATTTCTTTCGGCATATGATCTTCTATGGAAATTACTTGACCCAGGTATATGTAATCTTTCACATATTCTAGAGAATCGCCGTTTATTGTGATGTTAGATTTTGTGCTGTTTGTCATTATTTTGGTCTTGTTAGTGTTCATTTTTAGTCCAACTTTTATGCTTTCTTCATTTAAGTTATTTATCATATACTCGAGATTTTCAGGACGTTCTTCAATTAATACCTGGTCGTCGGCAAATCATAAATGATGTAGTTTTGACACGTTTATATTGATGCCATACTTATCCCAGTATAGGTTGCGGAAGATATTTTCTAACACAGCATAGAATGATTTTGGGGATAAAGGGTCTCCCTGCCTCACACCTCTCTGTATGCTAAATTCATCTCCCAAAGTTTCCAACTGGATTCTGGCCTTACTGTCTGCGTAGATGTTCTTTATGATTTTAGTATACACGCTTGGTATTCCTTGTTGATTTAGACTTTCCCAGATGTATTCATGGCTATCGAAGGTCTTGGCATAGTCAATAAAAGCTACATAAATGTTTTTATTATATTCGTTATATTTTTCTAGTACCTGTTTGATCGTATGGATATGGTCAATTGTTGAAAATCCTTTCCTAAAACCTGCTTGTTCGACTGGCTGTAATTCATCTAACAGTTTGCTAATTCTGTCTAGCATTACTTTTGCAAAAACTTTGTATACGTTTGACATAAGGCTTATCGGTCTATAGTTTTCTATGTTTTCCTTATTGCCTTTTTTGTATAGCAGGATTACGTGAGATTTAGTCCATTGTTTTGGAATTTGTCTACTAGTTAAGATTTCGTTAAAAATCTTTGTAAGAATTGAAGTCAGTTCTTCTATATTTCCCCTCATAAGTTCGTTGGTAATTTTGTCTGGTCCCGGGGACTTTTCCATTTTTTGACTCTTAATCGCCTTTTCGACTTCACATAATGGGATATCTGGCACAGGCTCTGATTTCCCTTCATCAATTTGTTGAGTGAGCACTCTGCTGTGGTGACCTGTTGTAATTTGGTGCTGGCTTACAGTTGACGGTAGAAACTTGTGGCTAGATCTTTGATTTTCTGTGGTATCGTGGTAGTATTCGATTTATCCTTTAGTTTGGGTATCCATTCTTTGCCTACTTCTCGCAGTTCTTTCAGAGTTTTATTCACACCCCCCTGTGACTTCTTTTTCCATGTCCAAACTTGCCAAGTACGTACTCACTATTGTTTTGTCTAGCTCCAATTTGTGCATTGAAATCGACCTTTAAGATAATATGTTTGTCGGTGTTGTTTTTTAATTGGCGATACAAGCGAATAATTCAAAGCAATACAACTGCGAACTAAAGTGATCAGTAGTACAATTGTGTTTCATTATTAGTGTGGTTTTAAATTGTAATTAGTGTTCTGTAATTAAAGTGTCAATTTTGGTAATTCAATAGGCAGCTTTTTTTATCGTCTCGTACCCCAAGCTCGTAACAATATTATTGTTTGATTTCCTAATAAAAATATAATTCTGCTTGAGAGCGTTCGTTCTTACCTTCGTTATATTTGCCTATGTAGGTACCTATACTGTAATTATATAGTAATAAAGATATAATATATTAACCAACTTAAATTACCTTGTAGGTTCGTCAAGTAACATGATATGTGGGTCAGTAAGTAGCTCGCAGGCGATTGTTACCCTTTTCCTTTCTCCACCCGATAAACGGTTCGTTCTTGTGTTGAATACTTCACGGATTCCTAGTTGACATGATATCCTCTCTATCTATAAAAATTAAAGAAAATATTTAAAAAAAAAACACATTTTTTGTAAACTTCTTGTTTGCAATAAATATACTATATAAAATCTAAATGTCTTTATTGTATATAAGAAATCAAGATGATTTCTTTTGAAGACTTTGATATTAATTATAATAATATTTTATTCATATTAACATACATATTCCATTATTATAACTGATTAAATTATTGACTTAGTTTCTTTACTGTGTGTCATCGAGCATTTAACCTGAAATAGAATAGAGCGGTATTGTTATTTGTTTTGTAAGAAAATAAATTCCGTAAAAACGCTGCGCCGGTCGTTGCGCTCTGATTGGCCGACTCAAGGTCAAGTATTGCACTAGAGCTGTGCAATAAAATATTTGTTACCGTAAATCGTAAAAATCATAATCGTAAGATTAATATCTATCTTGCGAGATTGTAAACTGTCGAAAGATTGTGAACCGTAACATACTGCTTACAATGTAACGCATTACTTTTGCGGTAGATTGTAATAATATATCTTAAAATTGTAATAATATATGTTAAAATTAGTCAAAAGGTTGTTTTGATCGAAAGTTGTTAGTAAGCCTAACAGCCTAAGTTCCGTACCTCAAAAGGAATAACCGGAATCCTTATTGGATCAGGTAAGTAGGTACATAACGGATTTATCTTTATATATAAAAATTACGTGTCACATTGTTTGTCCGCGCTGAACTCCTAAACTATTGAACTGATTTCAATGAAATTTTGCACACTGTGTTGTTCAGTTTGTTTGCTCCAACTTGAGAGATAGGATACTTTTTATCCCGATAAGTGACCTACAATATTTTAAAATTACGAGTGTAAGGATTTTTTATGGGAAAGGTCGTCGAAAAGGGCAGAACAACGTCTGCCTGGCCAGCTAGTATATTATTTTTTTTTGTTATAAATTATTTTATTTAGGACTATCAGGCAAGAGTATATGGAGGTGTAAGTGCGTATGTGTATGTTTATGTGTATTCGTGCGTGCGTGTTCGAAATAATAACTTTTTAAATGGAACTTCCATACTTAAAAAAATTATAATCATAAATGAAATAAAATGGAATTTAAGGCTATAAATGTATTTTAAGGCTATAAATGGAATTTAAGGCTATAAATTATATAAAATAATATAAAAAAATATAAAAAACTCGCAAAATGTCAATATTTTTGTTTATTTAGTTATCGATCATAGCTTAGGTAGGTATAATATATCCAAGATTTAAATCTTACTTATGCGTTACTATTACTGGTTTTTAAAGTGAATTTAATTTAGTATAAATTCTTCTCACTGCTTGTTTCTCGTTATATTTCTTTCTTTTGCTGAGGAATGTTAGTCTCGTATCTACATATTTTTTCACGATACTTTGAGCTAAATGAGTAATATGATTTGTCTCTTCTGTGCCATTTTGGTGGTACTCATATTAGGGAAATAGTTTTTGTCCTACAAAACTGCTCACTGTTTTGTGAACTAAGAAGTCACATGTCATCGTCGTATGTCTACACTCTCAATGAAATTTTTTTATGAATTGCTCTGAACGGCGGCAATTTTTTGGATATATTAAGCCACCCTTATCTCTGTAAAAAAATTAAACTTGTCTTATTTTATGACAAGCATACTAATGCTGGCACGCAAGTGACGCATTCAATACGTTTATGTAGGTGCTCTAGACACATATCCTGCTATGTATTCTATTACATTCTCAGAAAACTGCGAAAGGTCGACAGCTTCTATCCGAATTATATTAAATTCTTCTTGGTTTTCATGATCGTTATCATTAACAGTCTGCTCAGTTTGGCTGTGAGTGGTCAAGTTTATTCTTGTGATTGCCGAATAACAATTAAGAATTGATATCTTCTCTAACGGTATGCAGTTACCCGTCGATGTATGTAATAATTCTGTGTGAATTAAGCATTTCTTGTAAATAGCTTCGAATAAGCGAGGTGTTGGGTTGTCATTTGAACCACCATGTGATCTCATATTAGCAAAAAATAATTCTATGTGAACCTGTTGAATTTTGTGCGTAGGTAAGTATGTTATGGGACAATTTTCATCACAAATTAAATGTTTAAATAAACCTTTAGTACTTTCGATTGCAACACAGAAACCTAGAAATCCAGTAAAACGTGGTGAATCTATCAATTTTACTTGTTGTGTCTTCTCTCGTATTGTTATTTTTATCCGTGTTATCTTTGGTGACATTCACCAAAAACTTTTTGCATTCCTCTAGTCCAGGGGTCGGCAACCTTTTGAGTCGGAAGAGTCAAAAATTACAATTTACAAAATTTCAAAATTTTTAAAGAACCACAAGTTTTTATCTTGCTAACTATAAATAGTAATTGCATAAATAAACTTTTTTGATAAAAAAGAAAATTAATCTATTTATTCATAAAAAAAATATGTATTTATTCATATACAGGGTATTTTTGGAACGCTCCCGAAAACGAAGACAGACGACAGTACCAACTATACCTTTGATGATGTGTGGAATATAAAATCGATTATAGTGCTCGTGAATACGGCAACATGTTAATGTGCCTTGAAGTAACTCGCGGGAATGCTTCGCATGCATTGCGAATTCATCGAGAGAAATTCCCGACCGCTCGACATCCAGCTGACTCTCGTCTGATAACAGCAGCATTTCAGCGAGTTTTGGAAATTCAGCCCATTGCTCTGGTAGCGGCAGGAGGTGGAAGTCAAGTGGCTGTTCATTCAGAGGAGCGCATTTTAGATGTCGTTCGCCGGTATCCGAACCTAGGTACACGAAGTATCGCTAAATTGTTAAGGCGTCGGGATGGAACAAGTGTGTCATACTGTACAGTTTACAAAGTGTTAAAGCATAACCGAATGCGCCCATACAAAGTGTACAAAGTGCAAGCGTTAGTTACCGGCGATCACGACCGCCGGCGAGTTTTCTGCCGTTGGTTATTAGACCAAGAACAACGTGTGCCTGGTTTCATTGAGCACGTCATCTGGACGGACGAGTCGACATTTAGGATTTAGGATCGGTAGGCTGTTACATAACTAATTTTTTAAATAACTTAGTACTGAACTAATCTGAATAGGTACATAACTGAATACATGAGAATAATAAACATACTTACACGATGAATAAAAACGCATGACTCTAACCTTGGTTATATTTCATTTAAGTATTTTTTCATTAGCGGGGAATCGAACCAGTTATTTGGGTTATTTAACCTGTAAATTCGGATTAAAGTGGCTACGTGGAGACAAGCACAGTGGGAAAAGTAGTAGGTTAAGTCGATAAGTTAGGTATTTAGACAAGTTTTGTAAATTGTTAGGTATTGTGGTATGGCCCGCTAGTTGCGGGCCGCACGAATTCGCGTTCGCGCGTACACTGAGCTCTAGTCAGCTGATATCAATTCAGTAATTCCACTGCTAGTTTTATGTGTCAGTATTTTAATGATTTTTTTATGAAATTATTTTCTTATCAAGTTTCATTTAGCTGTACTAACATGATAGAGAATGAATAATGCTAATAAAACGTTGTGAAAAGATGATTTTTCTTTCATCAGGATCGGTTTTATATTCCACCCATCATCAAAGGTATAGTTGGTACTGTCTGTCGTCTGTCTTCGTTTTCGGGAGCGTTCCAAAAATACCCTGTATAAATATTTTCACAATAAATTTGAATCTAATTTCCATTATTATCTAATTATTAGAATATATATATATATATATATATATATATATATATATATATATATATATATATATATATATATATATATATAATCAGTTATTATTTATGTAAAAATTAGTTGTTTTAAGTTTCAAACACAACTCTGATTTTTCATTTGTTAGTTGGCTTCTTACTTTACTTTTAATTACATTTATGCAAGAAAACGCTTGCTCGCACGAAGACAGTCAGCACTCCAAATGCCAACTTCTTCATCTCACTGTAGCAATCTGGAAGACTATTCCATACGTCGAATATAAGTGCCTCAACTCGCGACATTTCTTTTAAAGCTGTTCATTTTTGTTGCATTACGTACATATATTTTTGGACGTCCAACTCCTTCAAATTGCTTTTCAACTCTTTTTCAACTCCACAAAGCTTTACTTTTAAATCATAATTTCAAGAGATCCAGTATCAACTCCAAATGGCTCAGTGTGGATCGATTTTTAAATGTTTTTTTTAAATAAAATAAATAAGCGTATGAAACCAAAGAGCCACAGCTTCACATCCAAAGAGCCTATCTAGTCTATATATCTAGTCTATCAAAGATTCTAGTATGATTATCGAAATTCAAAGTTCGTTTGTATCCATACCCGTGAACTCTGGAATCTCAAATATGAAATAAATCGTTTATGAGTAGGATCATTCTGAAAGTCCAACTCCTTGAAAGTCTGTCAATTTTAACTCTTCTTCACAAAAATCTAATGCTGTAGCTACGCTAGGACTAAACAATTCTGTAGCTAATTTTACTTTTATTATATATGTTTTATAATAAATGTGTTCAGCGCGTAACTTATTGGCTTTATAACTCTTCTATTCGACTTCAGATTGTGAAATTATTACATTCTTTTTAGTATTTTAATTCTTAATCCAGAATAGATGACTGGGCCGCAGCATCCACTTAAGAACGGTTATAGCGTTACTTATATAAATAAATTACTGGCAATCTAAGAAACAAAGAGGTTGGCATTATGCAATTATATTATCTTGTTCTGATGGTATTCGAATCCAGAATCCACAATTGTATTTTAACTTAGTACAGAGATATGATAGCTCAGAGGCTAAGTGCTTGCCGTAAGTTTCGTAGTACGCGAGCTACCCGGGTTCGATCTCTGCCGGCACCAATGAAATTGGTAATTGCAATTTAAAGTGCTTATTTACCATGTGCTCGGCGGTGAAGGAAAACATCGTGAGAAAACTTGCAAGTCAGAGAAATAAAAAAAAATATTTCGAAGACGTGTGAAGTCTGCCAACACGAATTGGTGCAGCGCGGCGGACATTTCCTTGCCCTACAACCATCTCAGAAATGAGAGGAGGCATGTGCCCAGCGGTGGGACGTATGTAGGCTGTAACTTTGACTTTTTTATTTTTTAATAACTTACACGCTTGCCAATTTTTAAACGTTTAATCATCTTGTTTACTATCTTTATATATAAAAATTACGTATCACGTTGTTTGTCAGCGATGGACTCCTAAACTACTAAACTGGTTTGAAATTTTGCACACTGTGTGCATTTTGGTCCAACTTGAAAGACAGGATAGTTTTTATCCCGCTAAATGACCCTCATAATTTTTTATTGCGAATTTAAGGATTTTTATAGGAAGGGTCGTTGGAAAGGGCAGAACAACGTCTGCCTGGCGAGCTAGTATATATATATATATATATATATTTTAATGTTTATTACACACAAATACAGTCGGTTATTTCTTACACTACATCTTGATTTAAATTTGTTCGGAGATCTAAACGTGTAAACCAATATTATCAGGTAAATTCAAACAATAACAACTAAACTGAACGTGCGGTGTTACGAAGATACCCCATATTATGCCAACCAAACCATCTGCAAAAAATAAAATAATACACTTTCAAAGTTAAATGCTCGATGCTGTGTGTGTTATTATTAAGTAGGTAGGTAGTCAAGTTAACGGGAGCGGTGGAGGCGTTTTTAAAACCTAAAATAAAATTAAGAGATGTCCGTACAGAAGCTCATGTACCTACTCTAGTAATGGCGACCTTATTCCAATACATCTTTCATGCAGACCTTATAACATTTGCTTACTCAAGCGTCGCGATATAGGTCACACACAGGGTGCAAAGTCAGCAATAGTATTTATGCACGTACTTGTATCACTCCATGTGGCGTTGAATCCATGACTAGGTACCTCTACCACACATAGTCACATAGGCCAAACTCTTTAGAAGTTCTGTAGAATCGTGGCCTTCCTCCCGTCGAGTCAACCCAATCATGCTGCAGCTTTAATACAACTAAATAGCGTGGCCCTACCACGTATAAAATATAAACTTGAGGTCTGCGCTGTCGTTCGGAATTATAGTTCATTTCAAATAGGATGGCAGGATTCCACTTGAGACTTAGCAATTACAGCTGTAATGTTAATCTATTGTTGTGTGATTATTTTATTGCTTTAACACTTGAAGTTAAGCATCTGTTGATAATAATGAACCAGTATAGCTGGAATGACGAATTTTGGTACTTGAACATTAAAACAAATTAAATTGTAGATAAAAAATCTTTAAAAAAAATTTTTGGAAGAATGTTTGTGACCATGTCATAAGAGTGGAAAACGAATTTTCGAGGGATCGGATACAACCATTTATAATAAATACGTGTGAGGACACAGATACCGATGAATGTTCTTCAGAGTGATTGATTAAACAAAATATTAACAAGTTGTTATAAGTATTTAAAATAGTTAAGTTAAAAGTAATAAAGGTTTTTTATCTACAATTTAATTTGTTTTAATGTTCAAGTACCAAAATTCGTCATTCCAGCTATACTGGTTCATTATTATCAACAGATGCTTAACTTCAAGTGTTAAAGCAATAAAATAATCACACAACAATAGATTAACATTACAACTGTAATTGCTAAGTCTCAAGTGGAATCCTGCCATCCTATTTGAAATGAACTATACTTACGGGGTGCATGAAGATCATCAATTGCTTCCCCGCTTACGTTTGAGCAAGAAGGGTATTTAAATAAACAAATAAGAATAATAATAAGTACATATAATATTATGTCCATTGTTTTTATATTATTAAAGTGGCAAACGAACTAACATTACATCGGATGGAAAGTTGCTGCTAGTGGTACGAAGCTAAAATCAAACAAAGAATGCTATAGATGTCTAGTCACCATTGTTGTCTATGATAGCATACGTTACAACCCGTAAGCTTTTAAATCAGAATACGCCTACCTGTATGAAAAGAGACAAAGGGTTGCCTGTCTTAAAATATATTTTAATAATAAGAAAAACATATTGTATTGTTTTTAAATATACATGCGTGAAAGGTAATTTTAGTGGCATAGCAAGGTTTGCGTACCGTTTCCATGCGGTCAAAGCTTGTCGTCCTTGATAACTTAAGTACACCAGCAAAATGTAGTGTTTCGCGCACCGTTAAAGCACCAATGAGAGTTGCATGTTGCGCTACTAAAACTGCATTATTACCAACCCCTTGAATAGAGCCCTTTACACCGCGCTTTCTGAAACAAAAAGTTAGATGTCCTATGGGCTAGTTTAAATTATGATATACAAATTCAATTAATGAAATTAAGTATCGAAGTCGATTGTGTTGTTAAATAGGACATAATTATAATATTTTGATAAAAGTTATTATTGTGGTTAAATTTACGCCACGGGCGGGTAAAGTTATAATATGATGCTATAGTTATGGTTGTGTTGAGGAATCACTTTGGTTCTGCGGTGTAGACACGTACGTGGACTAACAAGATTTGATACAATATTAGGCCACAAAGAACGGCTCTGAGCCACCTGCATCCATCGACTTCCTGCATGTCTTATCAGGTCGTCACTCCATCAAGTGTAGGGCCGCCCTACACTTCTCTTACAAGTACGAAGCTGCCACTCGAGAATCTTTCTTCCCCATCGGTTGTCGGTTCTTCGAGTTATATGGCTGACCCATTGCCACTTCAGCTTATTAATCCGTATGTCGGTTACTCTGGTTCTACTGCGGTAATTCTCATTTCTAAGTTTATCACGCAGAGAAATCTCGAGCATAGCCCTCTCCATGGCTCGCTGAGCGACCTTGAGCTTCCTCATACGGTAAGCAGTGAAGACCCACGTCTCAGATCCATAAGTCATCACTAGCAACACGCACTAATTGTACAGCTTGCGTTTGTTCTTAGTGTTTCCAGAGAGTATATGATGTTATTAAAAATAAACAATGATGGAAGTGTTGAAACAATAGTGTACTTGCAAAGGTCGCATAGCGACCTACCGAAGCCCCGATTTTACAGACTATTCGTATCACCTGCTTTTGCAAACAGAATAGCGTCTGATCTACTTTATTATAAAGCTATTATTACAGTTTATATATGTGTAGACTTACTATACAATCTTACGTGTGTGCTAAAAAGATTTAAGTAATATTGTGAGGGAATATAATTACAAGTTAACTGGTTGTGAAGGTCTGGTCTGTTTTTATTATATACAAAATTACTTTACTTTAGTATCCAAAATTTTTGGTAGTTCTTAATTACACTAGTTAGTGTATTTGCGCCAAATATTACCTACCACTAAACATTTCCTGGTACTAATGACACAAAATTTAAAGTGATAACATTAATTGGAACATTCCTTTATCGAACTAAGTTAGATACTGAAAAGTGAAAACAACAATTTTTATCATTTAAACCGTATTAAATACGAATACGAATATGTTATTCTTATTATTCTTAACTTATTTTTTTAATCTCCATACATATATTCTTTATATTTTTCGCTGTTATACAAGGGTAAAATACCCATTCTGTCATCTTTTTTATTGGGAATATCTACGCATATGCACTTTGCGGGCAGGAAAGATGGCTTTTGTCGAACTTTCACTAATAGATGTCCATAGTATTTCTTCTTTGCCGCATATCGACAGGGACACAGGAACGCGCTTGCACTCATTCGTAGCCTCACCAACGCCAGCTGCACCTCATTAGAAGAGAAAAACCCTTCTTCTTCTTCCTAGCAATGCGAATCTTCTTATACGACAGAACTTAGGAAAAAGTGCATCATCTTTTCAGAAAGAGAGAGGGAGAGAGACTCTAAACCTCCCCTCCAGTCAGCGCCCCATTAGCCTCCTCAAGGCTATGGGCAAGCTCTTCGAAAGAGTCATTCTTACTCGCATGAGGCTCCATCTGTTTCCCACAGACGGTGACCCTCTTGTCATCCCCCATCAATTTGGTTTCCGAGCGAAACACTCTTGTCCCCAACAAGTTCACCGTATTGTGGAATATATCCTCATCGGTTTTTATCCTCGTCGTCATAAGTCCATCGCGGTCTTTTTCGATATAGCCAAAGCCTTTGATAGAGTCTGGCATGAAGGCCTTTTCTACAAATTATATAAAATAGGTCTCCCCGATCGTCTAGTACGTCTCGTGGCCTCTTATCTAAAGCATCGTACCTTTCGTTTTAGACACGAAGGCACGCTATCTTCCCAACGCCCCATCAAAGCTGGTGTCCTCAGGGTTCAGTACTTGCTCCTCTCCTGTACATTTTGTTCACCAACGACATTCCGATCTCGTCAAAAGGTGTTCAGCTCTCCCTCTTCGCAGATGACACTGCCCTATACTGTGAAGGTATCTCGCTACCTTTCATACGGAACAAGATCCAAAAGTCAGTTGATGACCTAGGAGCTTAGTTCAAAAAATGGCGCATCGATGTGAACCCGGAGAAGAGCTCCGCCGAGCGACGGAGCGACGCCGACTCAAAAACACTCCACAAATACGTATGCTAGGGACCTCTGTCCCCTGGCATACGTCTGCCAAATATTTAGGCGTCACCCTTGACACGAGGCTCACTTTCAGGCCCCACGTCAAAAGAGTAACCCGTCACGCACGTATTTACCTGAGTAGGCTCAACAGTATGTTGGGCCGACACAGTAAAAAGTCCTTCAGAAACAAGCGTACCCTTTATAAGGTCTGTATACGACCAGTCATGTCCTACGCGGGCTTCATTTTTGCCCACGCTGACCCTAAAATTATTAATGAACTCAAAGTAGTTCAAAACCTCTTCTGTCGTCGAGCTGCGAACGCACTTTGGTACGTCCGTAATGCCGACCTTCATCGGGACTTAGAGCTCCCTACAATCCAACAATTCCTTAAAAAAACTCTCTGAGAACTTCTTCAAAGCCTCAGAGTCGCATTCCAATCATTTTATTCGTGAGGCAGCTACTTATGCAGCCCCACCCCCTCTCGCTATCGAGTCTGCAGGCCGAGAAACACTCTCTCGGACCCACCAAATAAAATTTCAACCGACCTGAACTGCCTCCTGGCGGCTCAGGCCGATTCTTCTTAAATTTGCCTAAGTAGGCTCTTCTTCAGCGGTTCTTTGTAGCCGCCTGCGCCCTCTTCTCCCAAAAGAGGATCGTGTCCGATCCGACGAAGCGGCTTAATCGGCCAATTGTCAGTCCCACAGGCGGTTTTTAGTGGGTAGCACCTAGGCTCCACTTTAGGTTAGATACAGTGAGTCCCACATAACCACGACAGACCGGCTGTCGTGGTATGCATAAAGCATTTACCGTCTCCCTACGTAAAGGGTAGCCCATTTTCCAATTGCTTCTGAGCGCAAAAAAAAAATAGCAAACAATATTTGGGGTATTACCCCTTGTGAGGCAATCAATGACGAGGCTTAAGTTCAGCTGTGGACTTCAACAGGCAGTAATAATAATGAATAAGTGAATTAAAAATTCAATTTGGGATTACATCACCACTTATGATCAAATGGCATTGCAGTAAAGTAGGCTTACAGTTAGTAAAAAATATTAATACGGTCGAAATTAAACATACATACTTTCGGCCTGCTAATATTTGGAGAAGAGATGTCTTTCCGGCACCAGATGGTCCCAAAATGAAAGTGAGCCGCCCGGGTCGTAAAGCACCACAGACATTGTTAAGGATCGTTAATTCATTTTGACGGATACCACCCTTTATCATTGGCCATGCGTTACCTGAAAAAATAGAAAATATTGGTATTATTTCTTGAAGTTGTAAACATAAATACTGTATTTACTTTTAAGAGCGTTTACGATCACAATATTAATTAGAGAATTAGTGTCAAATATTATACTGAATAAGAAACAACTTACATCACCTATTACATCATTTTAAATTAATTGTATTTCCTATTAGTCTTGACCTACTAAAGAATACTTCTATTAGTTTACCTCAAACATTTAATTTGGTTATAAACGTATAATACGTACGTAAAGTACGTATAATATTAATAGCTTATTAACTAACTAGTTTTTGTAATGCGTCAGTGCCATTCAAATCCATTCAGAATTTATGCAAGTGAAGCAAGGGTTTTATTATTACTCCCTGACGAGAGATGTGGAACCACATCCCAAGATTCTCGCACTAATAATGTTGCTCCCAACCACCAGTCTGTGAAATTTGTGTTAGGGTAGATAACTCATAGATTTTCCTGCAGCATTCGGTTGCCAGATTCACGTCCGGTAATGGGTGCAGCACTACATGAAGCAGGTGAGATTGACATTCTGAGAAATTAATAGCATGTTTCTTCTTAGGTGCACCCTAAATAAATATAATATCTATCATCGATAGAGTTCATTTCGTAAACGAAAGCATTTGTAACCATTTTTTAGCTATTTTGATTTTTAATAAACTATAATTTAAATAATTTATTTTGCTCTTCTATGTCAAGTAGCGGCTTTTCTGGAACTCCTATTGAATTTGATAGTGCTCGTTGATATTTAGCGTCTTTAGACGGATCTGTATCGCGCGCTAAACCGGCTGTTAAGATTGCAAAAATAATCCAAAATATTTATTTTTAATTTTATGTCGAAGACTATTTTGTTCTAATTTATTACGTTCATATATTGTAAAACAAGCAATTACAAATGTTTTCATTATTTTGTTATTCCATTGTTTACAGTTATTATCACATTTTAGCTTGCATTAGAAATTCTTGGTGGGAAGCTATGTACAAATATGTAGGTCAACAACTATTATATATATATATATATATATATATATATATATATATATATATAAATATATATATATATATATATATATATAAAGTTACAGAAAAAATATAACAAATAATAAACTGATGAGTTTTCGTCAGTTTTAAAAAGGTAAGGTAAGGTTCTAAGAAACAAAAACAAATGTCAAAAAAGTTCGGGATCTAATTGATGATATACATCTGACACTTAAACATGCTCTTGGAATTCATACCAGTTGTAAACAATACTTTTGTGAAAAATGGTGTACACAAGAGAATTAAGAACAGATAAAATCTTTCGTTTGAAGCCGCCGAGTTGTAAGTAGAAGGCAAAATTCGCCATATGCCAATTTAATTAAATATATTTTACATGAAGTGATCTTGACTAAGGTGCCTGCGAATAATAAGGCCTAAGTAAAAAAATCGTATTTATAATAACCGCACTCGCTTAAGGAGATAATAAGAAAGAAAGAAAGAAAGAAAGAAAGAAAGACATTTATTCACTGGAACTGTACACATCACAAAAATAAAAAATTACAACTTAAAAGTATGGTGGATTAAAATTACAAGAGTGTATCGAGCCAGTGAAAAGGTTATGACTCAGCGTAATGCTGCAGGGTAACCTACAGCGCTGATGATTCTGCCATAACCACAGAAACACGCACGATCCGCCTGGAAGTGTTTATGACATACATTTCAATAATTATTTGATAAATTGAATTATTTCCTTGCTAATAAATATACCTACATATACATTTAGGGATATACACACATACATACATACAAGACATATTATACATAAATATATTCATATCATATTATATTCTATATAAAACTAAAAAGGTTTCAAAACATATATAAAAATAAACGTAACAATAAGCTTAGAAAACACACACCAAAAACAAACATATAATGCTCAACTATGCTGGAAGATAGGCTCAAGGTTAAGCTTTTTGTGAGTGTAATAAATGATTTTTATAATGGGATTTAAAATTGTACTTTGAATTACACTCACGAATAGGTGGAGGAATGTCGTTCCAGCACCTTGTAGCTATATATTTAAAACTACCTCTGAAAGCTGCAGAACAGTAAGTGGGATTGGCAAGCGGGTTCGTACAAGACCTAATGATGTTTTGTCGATTTCTCCATATAAGTTTATCATATAAATATAGGGGTGACTTAGTTTTAACAACATCAAATAGAAGATTAGCGAGGTATAGTTTCTGTCGCGCTTTCATTTTCAAAATGCCTGCTTCATTGAAAAAAGGTGTTACACGGGACCGTTTTGGTATTGAGAAGCAGTATCGTGCACATGCATTTTGTATACGTTGAATTAGACGTTGTGACTTTTCCAAAATACAGGGTCCATACACTGTAATGCAGTGGTTTAATTTTGAAAGAACGAGAGATTCACACAGTCTAATTCTTAAGTCCAACTGAATGTATTCGCGGATTCTATATAACACCTTTAACCTATAAAAGCAGTTGCGGACAAGCTCGAGTACATGTTTTTCAAAACGCAATCTGCTATCCATAACTAAACCGAGGTTACGAGCTTCACCTACACGCTCCAGAGGGATGTTTAACAACATGATTTTAGGGTTTTGATTTTCTAAAAATTTGATTTGGTTTTTTGATCCTAGAAGCATATACTTAGTTTTTAGCGGGTTTAAAATGAGGGAATTTTTCTGTGACCATATTGCAATTCGATTCAGGTCCTCATTGATGTTACTAATTGCGGAATGAAATTCAAGTGAATTGCAGGAAAGATATACCTGTAGATCATCAGCATATAGGTGGTATTTGCAGAAGTGCATACAGTTAGTTATATCAGCAGTGTAAATTATAAATAACAATGGTCCTAAGATAGAACCCTGTGGAACACCTCTATGAAGTGGTCGTTGTTCAGAAACAAGGGAAGACCCATTTGGTTGATTTAATATTACTTGTTGTGAACGGCCGCATAAGTAACTTTGAAACCATTTTATGGAAGATGTTACAAAACCATAAAACGATAGCTTAGACAGCAGCAAATCTATGTTAATAGAATCAAATGCTCTTGAAAAATCAAGCAGGGTAAGGATCGTACCTCTACCAGAGTCTTGAGATGTAAGAATATTGTCTACCACGTCAAGTAAAGCAGTAGACGTGCTTCTACCTTTTCTAAAACCTGATTGTAAGTCAGGTAAAATATTGTTAGCATCACAAAACTTGACGACTTGATTATAAATAACTTTTTCTAAAATTTTTGATAGAAAGGGTAGTATACTTATTGGCCTTAAGTCTTTGAGATCCTTAGGATCATTGTTTTTAGGTAAAGGACGTACGAGAGCTATTTTCCACGAAGAAGGAAAAGTAGATGTTTCAATTGATTTATTTATGATTGCTGTAATGACTTTTAACGTAGCCGGAAGTGTTAAGATGATCATATCCCTACTCAACTTATCAATACCGTGAGCATTTGATTTTATTGATAATATAATCTTTGCAACATATTCTTCACTTACATTTACATATTCTTCACTTACATTAACTTACAATAACAGACTATTATTGCACGATAATGTCTCGATAAGTTTGCAGAGACGCGCTACCCCGCGTCCTGCAACCAGAGTTGCATTATCTATCATACGATACAACCGCACTGCACCAATACTAAAAACCAGTCCAAATAAATTGTAGGTATATTTTGTAATATTACATTTAGCTATCTAAAATCGTAATCTTTATCTTTATGAATAAATGCTTTGTTGATCTTGAAGATTTAAGTAACGTATCGTGGTCATTTTTTTTAAATTTGGTTTTCTTAAATATTTCGCCATACAAATTTCACCATAGGGCTTATTATACTCCTTTTTCTTGGGTAGTATTTTTTGTATTATTATGAATTTTATATCACTTTTAAAATGTTATAAATGTAAATAAATCATACGCTTTTATTATTAAACTAATGTCGTAGTCAGAAAAAGGCCTGGTTTTAATTTTTTTTATAAGATAAGGGTGACAAACGAGCTCACAGTCCACCCGATGGTAAGCGGCTGCTGCGGCCCATAGACATCTACATCTATCCTCTATTACAAATCAAAATGCAGATGCGTTGTCACCCGTGAGGACCAAGATGGAATGCCTCATTTCCAGCAAAAAGGGCCTCCGGCCACCTGCACTCACCAAGCGAAACACAGAGATAAACCTCTACTTCACACTGGTATTCTGTGAGGTCGTGGTACCATCCCGGTTCGAGCCGGCCCATCCGTGCGACAGCAAAAGCCACCACGTGGCTCTACCACTGTTGAATAATTAATTAATAATTGTCCAAAAAGTGCAAAGACAATGTGAATCGAATAGTTAAGGCATTGACATTAGAAGCTATTAAATTATGTGTACATTATTAGTCCTGCGCCTAGGCTCTTTCGGACCGTGTCTGAATGTGATTTGATGATTGTGAGGGAATAGAGAGTGCACCTGTGCTTGTGCATATATTCGGATACTACAATTCTGTACTGTGCTATTGGGTTGGCCTCCGTTGAGATTGGCCGCTGTGACAGAAATTTGGTTGAGAGGACACTCAACCCAACAATAAACCCAATTTTCAACTCAACCTAATACTCAACTCAACTCGAGACACAACTGACGCACTGACGATAAGTCTGTTAGGCGGGGCAATATATACATATATATTAGAGTTTTAAGTCTTAGTTGCTGTATTCATGTGATAATTGATCACAAATATTGTATAAATTGATTATTTGAGTTTCTAATGCTTTAGGCCTTGTTACCCTACCATAGTAAAATAAAGCCTCCTAGCAAGGTTTTTGGATATGTTTAATTTTGTTTTTATTTATGGCAAATGTTACAATTATTCATTCATATTTCATAGAAACTGTACGAAACTAATGATTTTTATTAAAATCTGTAGACTAAATTAGATATTTCTGATTTTATTTTCGATTTTCCCTTAGATAGGCCTTACTACCCGCAGGT